CTTGTAATATCATTCAGCATGTTAAAAATGATGCTCACAGGTGCTTCCTCTCCACAGTTCCTCCCAATCATACCAATCTGTACATGACTGAGTTGGTCACTGAAGGCGACCCTGTCGAAGTCAACTGCACTGCTGAAAGTTTCCCACTGCCAACTTTCACTCTGGCAAGATATTCTAAATCAAATTCTCAGACTCCAGAATGGAGTTTAATTTTAGACAACTCCTACAAATTTAAGGCAAATTCAACAGACGCAGGCTTTTACACCTGCAAGGCCTCAAACAGCGAAGGAAACCAGTGGAGCTCAAAAAAGCAACTGGTGGTGAATTGTAAGCAATTGAGTGATGCATGTCTTTGTCATATATATGTTACATCCAACACAATTATATTCTGATAATATTCAATCATCTAATAACTAGACAATATCTTAAACTGAAATGTGGTTTTAGTACAATTCCTTAGGCAGTAAAGTTTAGCTGTTCCATACTTTCAAGCTCCTATTTTTTGTTTTTTTTACAAAAGACACATCATCAGCTCAGGAAACAGTGTTCAAGGTTCAAGAAACATGAGGCATTGTTGCAATATATTAACTACTGTTGTTTTTCTTGATTAACTGATTAGATTATTTTACTGCTGAATTTCAGCTATAATAGAATTTGAGTTGTAAATAATTTAAATATTAAGGTTATGATTTTACAGAAAGATCTTGTGATTAAAAAGAAACAAATAAAAACATCATCTCATTTCTTTGTTTATAATTTGCGTTAAATGCAGATAGCCCCAGAGAGGTGAAAATAACAGGTCATCCTGGTCTTATTGTAAAAGAGAATGAGTCATTAACACTGGATTGCAGTGCCAACTCGTACCCATCAGTAAGCTCCTTCACCTGGATGAAGATGATCGATGGGATGATGGAAAGCACTATAAGCACTGGGACACCGTTCATTGTGGATTCTGCCAGTGTCTCTGACAGCGGGAAGTACCGCTGTACGGCCACAAATAAAATTGGAACGGGGAAATCAGTGCAAGTTGAAGTTAAAGTTAAGCGTGAGTACACTTGAATATTTCAGTCATCGTTTCTCACCAACAACAGAGTATCCACACGTCTAATACTTTGCTTTGTAATTATTTACTCGTTTCATCTAAACTTCAAATATGACGTGGACTCTAACAAGTGGTTGATTTTACTGGTTTTAGTTTTTCATTCTGGGATAAGTAAAATGCTTTAGAAAGGTCGTTCAGGTTGTGCCGCATGTGCACTTTGGACCAGCAACTAAGGGATATGAGAAAGGAACATTTCTAACTCTACATGAAACAGCTTTGAATAGAGCAACTGTACATTGTCATTTTAAAACTTTCCATATTTAGCTATTCTGTCTTTTTTTGAAATCATTATTTTGCGTTTCCTTTTCTTCTCTGTTCCTCTGTTTAGATGGTCCAAAATTCACAAAGATTGAAAAAGAAAAGGAAGAGCAGCATGATGAACTGACAGGAGTGAAACTGAGGTGCATCAGTCAGTGCTATCCTGAAGTCACGCAATATTCATGGTACCAGAGGATAAACAAAAAAGAGAACAAAAATGTAGCAAACGGTACGGATATTTTTGTGAGATCAGACCAGCCTGGGGAGTACTACTGCGTCGCAAAAAACGAAATTGGTGAAAGATCATCTGAGCCAATCAAGCTATTTGACGGTGAGTGAATTCCAAAGGCATTGACCTTTATCTCTACTGTGCATTGTTTTTATATAATAATACGTTTAAATTATATTTTTCCTTTTTTTAATACGTATATAAAACTTTGTGGCGGTGTAGAGCGGGGTCATGTTAACAAGCCATCAACATTTGTTTTAACAATATTACATTATTTAATAAGCTCAACTTATTCATGTCCAGGTATTTACAACTCAGTGCCTATTATCCATCCCCTACTCCTGCATAATGTCTGTGTACTCAAAGTAAACATGTGTCAGGTTACCCTTATTTGAAAAAGTACATTTAAACACAACAAAGAAAAAAAATCATACACACAATGTGTGTATGCCCTTAAAAGTAACACTGCCCATTGAACTGTCTTGGTGGAGGTTTGTGCTCTTTGGGTGCTTTTTGTTTTTCTGTGCTACCTGTTCACAAATCTCTCTATATACTGATGTTCTGTCTCTTCTAACCACAGACACAGTTATGAAGATTGTGAAGGTCTTCTCGCTTTGTCTTATTTTTCTAATTGTATGCATACTCATCTTTTTGTACAGGTAATATACAAAGTAAATAACAAATAGTTTCCATTAGAGAAACGTGTTCGGGTGATTGGCCTGCATGACTGCTCTTCTGCCCCTTTGTTTACAGACGCAGAAGGAACAATTTGATTCAACAAAGAACTACAAATGTGTGGTCCTGGAGTAGTTTTCTGGTATTAACTCATATGTTAAATCTTTTGAATTGTTAGTGAAATGAAACAAAAATGATGCATTTCCATCTGTAAACTGAATCAGGGTTCCTGGAATGGAGTCAGCAGGAGCAGTGGGAATCAGAGTGGTTTGGCAGAGCCGTTCAGGAGCAGAGATGACCTCTTGCTAAACCATCCATGTCAACCAAATGCCCAACGACCCCAGCGTCATCCAGACAGCACGTAAGTCTGCAGCAGCTCGCACTGTCCAGCTCAGAACAAGGGACTCATTGTTGGCAGGGGAGCTGGGTGCTGCTTCTCACTCTTTCGTCAAAGCACCCATTTAACATCATTCAGTTATGAATGGCACACTGAGAGTCTGCTCAGTTTTTGAATGGTTCTGATTCTGAATGTGCATTTTTTTATTTTTAACATCATTATTTTTCCACAGGACTGCATCCAACGTGAACACTGTTTACTCTGCTGTGAATCTGCCCAAAAGCAAACAGGTGATCCAATCATATCAGTGCAAGCTCAACAAAGACAAATCCATTTAAAATGTTTCAGTACTTAAGAGTAGTTTGTAAAGTTTTATCTCCACTAATCCAGCCTTATGCTTATGCTGTCCCTTACTGTTGATATATATCTGTCAGTATACTTATTAATTATCCTTCATGTAAGGCATGAATGAACTGATTCAGTTGCTACTCTACATTCATTGACAAGTTCTCTCTGCATTTGCTCAGGCTGCCTCTGCACAAAACCCAATCAAAGGACACGGTGGAAACATGGGAAATGATTCTCTCAACTACGCTTCTGTGTTCTTTGAGAATAGAAAAAAGTGAGAATTCAGTTCTGTATATAAAAGGAGCCTAAATGATATGTTATTACGTGACTTCTTTTATGACTATATGTTTTCCCCAGGGATTCAGAGGAGGATGCTGAGTACTCTGTGGTGTCAAAGCCTAAGAAGTCAAAAGTGGTAAGAAAGCTCAAAATGCCTTTTTCCCCCTGTATCTCATTCAGTTTATTAGCTTATTTCATTGTATTTGTATTGTATTTGTATATCATATACTCATTGTATATGATATACAAATGCAAATAAAAATCATTGTAGCAAGGAAAATTAAGTTAAGGCAAAGTAAAGAATGAAAATGATCTTCAACAAGGGTTATTTTTGTACATCAAATCCAGACACTGTCAGAAATTATGACACCGTTTTGTCACTTTTTGTCATCTAGACAGAACAAGAAGTGCAGGAGGACTATGAGAACATCGGCGAAGAACTTCCACCCAAACCTCCATATACATATAACTTTGACTCAGAGACAGATACCAGTGAAGATGAGGTGGAGGTCAACTATGCTCATGTGAACATTAAGCCAAAGTCTGGCCACCAGCGAGACTCCAGCAGCAGCAGCAGCAGCGAAGATGAAACTCAGTACTCTCAGGTCAAAATTTGACTAAAAATGCTTTGATCCTATTCAGACATCTCTGCCAGTTTGTGCCACGGACGTTCTGAAATATATTTGCCAGGCTAACTATACTGAACAAGGCTTGTGTTACCTCATTGTTTCTTTTTTCCTTCCTGGGATATAATTTTAGCTTTCCTTTATGTATAGTAATAAGTCCCCACAAGTACACAAACCTATCTTTTTATCATAGATGTAAGACTGTTGGGGAAGTGTATATGGATAAGTGATAAAATGAAATGACTGCTGTTGTAAAATTGTGCTCCCATCCTCCTGCTGAGTTTTTTAATGTATATATATCTGTCTTGAAATTAAAGTACTTTACTGTATGCATAGTTCCATTTCATAACCTGCTTTGACACAAGCTGTTGTTCGATGGCAAACTTGACTGCAGGGCCAGTTACTCTTTTAATCACATAATAATTATGCATTACAAAGTTGTCAATAAAAACAAGTGCCTAACAAGTTTTAGGTTGTACCTGCTTCTTACACACTCCACAAAGGTTTTTTTAGAATTAGACAAAGGTTAGTCATATGCATATAGTTAAAGATTCAACCTCAGCATACAGATATGTCTTTTTTTTTTCTGTCATGCTATTTTTACTAGTAAGACAGGAGAAGAATTTACAGACGAGGATCAAAACCAGGGCCGGAGGGAATGTCCAAACTCCTGGGCTTCTGCTGTCAATTCCTCTAAAGCTAAGTGACCACTTTCTCATCAACTCTTCATGTAAGTCCCTTAGCATCTTTCTCTCTTCCCAAATGGGCATCTGCAAGTGTTTCTTCCTACTTTGCCTCTCCTCCATTGCTTGGTGCTTCTCGATGGATCTCAGAATCCACACCAGTCTTAGAGACCAGGCCTTTGATCTCACCTTCCCCGAGCTTGCCCTCTGACCTGGCCTGAAGTTGAGCAAAGTCCACATCAGCATAATGGAGAGAGTCATCCTTGTATTCTGCTGCTTCTGCCTCAAGAATGGCTTTATTGACATAAATCGCATCTGCCTTTGAAGAGTTAGTCTACAGAGAAACCACAACAGTGTGTTTCAGTAACACAGAAAAGATGTGTTTTTTTCTATTTCAATAATGAGGTTCACTTTAACTGTGTTTTTTTAAGAGCATATGTTTTGGCATACTATATTCACATTTACTATGCAAGAAAACGTTCATTTTATCATTCAAACAGGACACACCATTAGCTCAGAGAGTCAGAATACGTTTTGGAATCTAAAGAGCTTGGAAAGAAAGACGTCTGGAAGTTTCTTGAAGACGTTTCTTCTCTCAGCCGAGAAGCTTCTTCCTCTTTCCAAGCTCTTTAGACTTGGTCTTTAGACTACGATGACCTGGATGACTGAGAACCTTCGCAGACAATATGTTTTGGTGTTTAAATCACACTAACACATTGGCAAGTACACAAGAAGAGCTGGAGGCAAACTCATTCTACCACAGGTGGGATTTTTTTCTTCATCTAACTCATATATATGCATCAACATAAACTCACCTCATTGGTGACTAAACAGTCTGAAATATCCACAAGTCCCTTGTCAAGTGAAACATTGCCCTTCCTTTTCCTGCAACCATCACAGAAAGGTGAAAGGTTTAATTCACATTAAAGATTTTACATTGAAATATGCTTTAGGAAAAATACTTTCTCCTTGAAAATTCCTTGCCACAAGGTTAAAAACTCTAAAAGTCGTTATCCCCCTGATAATGTTTTGATTTTGTCACAATTCATGTATTACACGTGTGTGTTTTCAGCTTCAAGGTGGGCAGATAAAGTTTCATCAGAAGGCTGCCTTGTTAGTAATGATTTGTGGCAGCTGTGGTTGCTCTATAATTAGTCAGCTTACAAAAGGAACCTTGAAATATGTCTGTTATATGCATTTTTGATTATACATGATAATCGTAACCTACTTTGAAAATATCTGGTACCAGTGTTCTGTGTTCCTCACCTGTAAAGGCATATCAGTAGCGGTATGAAAACCAGCAACATCCCCAGTGCTCCCACTCCAGAACCAATCAGCAAAGAAAGAGTATGGAGGACTTAAAAAAAACAAAACAGTCATATCAATCACTAAAAGATGCAAATGACACAACAGAAAAGTCAGATATAAAATGAAGCTTCCTAGAGATTTCTTTACCTAGCTGAGTTTCACTGGAGGATATATTGAAAGCTATACTATCAGACCCCAGGGAGTTGCTGCTCAGACACACCAGAGAGGGCATGTCTTGGCCCAGGTAGTACAGAGTGATGATGCTCCTCACGCTCGTGCTCCCCAGATTTACTTCCCGAATTGGGATATCAGCAGAGTGATTGACAAGCTCGCCAGCCAGCTGCCAAACCAGGGAGGGAAGCGGGTTCCCCTGAGTGTTACAGGTACATCGGATCTGGGACAAAATCTTCACACAGCGGGAAGAAAATAGGATCTCTGGAGCAACTGAGACAAAGAAGGTAATGGGTTAACTAGGTTTATGGGCGCTTTTCTTGGGGAAACATAAAGGCTTCAAAGGAATGAAAGCAAGAATAAGAGTCTTACATGTGACATCAATGCTGACAGGCTCTGAGCATTCAGCTCCATGGACATTCAGAGCTTCACAATGATATTGATCATCTGAGAGTTTGGTCACATTGAAGGTGAAGTGTTGCTCAAAGCCCACCGCTTCCTTTTTCCTTCCTGCCACCTGGAACCAGGTGAAGTTCACCGCTGCTGGATTGGCGATGCTTGTGCAAGTCAGAGTCACAGAGCTGCCATCCAGCACAGGACCAGAAGGGTCAACAGACACTGAAGTATTTTTAGGAGGATCTGAAAGGAAAATAATGTTCCTTGTTAGTATTGCATTCAAAGACTTTTTTTTACTTGTTTGGGAATGCATATTCAGCCTTTCAGAAAATATATCAATTAGGATGTTCTGGTGCAAGTTTTAGGGCAGAAAGTTATTAATTGATATGCATAATACTTTTTTCTTTTTCATTGTGATTCATATTATTCCTTTTTGATAGAATTAATTGTGTTTTGCTTTGGGGGGGCTTTAATCATACTTTTCTGTACTCTTACAGCTTGATGAGGACACAAATTAAACAAAACAGCTACACATACATTCAGACACTGGCACACATGTGGACACAGTGGAGCTCAGTCATGATGGACTCAGAAGGTTTTGAGGTTGTCACGCAATATGACAATGTGTTACTGTCCATAGCTCAGACACTAGTGTTGCCCTGTTAACAAGTCTTGGCCCCAGATCATGTTGGGTTGAGCACAGCTGGATATACAGTAGAGCCATGTTCAGGACGTGAGCACACTGGAGACATACAGTTTTGTTTGTTTTCGGTGTAAATCAATGTCTTTACTGTGTTAAATTAACTCACACTGAATGTCCAGCTGAATTGCTGCTGACGTTTCCTCTCCCAGATCATTTTTGGCTGTACAGTGGTAATCACCGCTGTGGCTGGTGTCGGCACCGTCTATGACCAAGACTGGTCCGAGCTCCTTATCCATCTCATTATCTCTGTACCAGGTGTAGTTGGTCACTGGTGGGTTAGAGCGGCTCTTACAGATCAGAGAAACAGAGCTGCCCTCCAGAACTGGACCGGTGGGATCGACGATTACTGTTGTTTCCCTCGGGGAAACTGGAAAAATAAACAAGCATGGGTTCAGTCTATGCTGTGATCCAACATTTATAATCTGTCTTTTTGTTTCAGGCTCACTTACACTGTACGTCAATCTGAGTGATAGAAGAATTCTGGCTTCCATAACTGTTACTGACTCCACAAAAAAACTGACTGTCAACTTCTGACACTGTGGCTGAAAACCTCTTCTTTGATCCCACCACTGACACCTGATCTCCATTCACTTTGTACCAGGTGTAGCTGTCCACGGCTGGATTTGCATTAGTGTTGCAGGTCACGGTCACTGAGCTGCCTTCTTTTACAGGACCAGAGTAACTAACGGATGTGTTATTTGGAGGATCTGTAAGAAAAATATGAAATTGTTAATACACAATCTATCTGCACAGACAGATTTTTTGGGCCACTCATAACCAGTGTCAAGCCTACAACTGGAATGATAAACATTTGTCTTTTCACATCAGCAAAACTGGATTTGTGTTTCTGGAGACCTGCCAAATGTTTACAATGTAACCAAGGGTCTATCCCAGCTGTAGCGCTTGATTGCAACTTGATTGAATGGCAAAACTGAAGCTCATTGAAACAGAGTGACTTTTGAAACTATACAAAAAAAACCCTAAAACATCTGATTAGATGTTCTTTTATAGGTTTTTTATTATCCTGGAGAAGACCAAATCAGATAATATCAGACCATAAATAAAATCATGTTATGGTATGAATGCAAACAATAAAAGAAAAGGTGATAAAATATACTCACAAAGAACACTTAGCGTCAGAATTTTTTCATACAGAAGGTCACTTTTCCCAGCTTGTCGGTTATAGACGGCAGTGCAAGAAACTTTTTGTTCATTGTGAAGGTGAGAAGCAGTGAAGTTCATCACAGAGGTCGCAGGATTAGCTTCCACTTCCTCCTCTGTGTTACCTAAAGCGGGCGACCATGTCAGAAGTGGAGGAAGAATGGGACAGTGAGAAACAGCGAAGCAGGTCAATGTCACTGCAGTTCCTTCTTCTACCTCCAGGTTCAATGGAGTTATGGTAGGTTTAGGCAGTGAATCTGAAAAGTAGAACAATACAAAAATGACATAATGACCTAAAATGTAGTAAAGATGTGGCTTTATGTGTAGAATAGCAAGAGGAGGGGACAAACTTTGAGTGGCTATGAGGACACTTGAAGGAAAGTTAAACTTCAAATCATTGTCACACTGCAGTCTGAAGTAATAGTTGTCATAATGGCGTGGTGGCATGTTGTTGAAGATGGTGGTGCAGTCTTTGTCACGCAGGATTCCAGTCAGGTTTCCTTGCTGGATATTTAAGCTTCCACTTGCACCAGTGAGGCTGGAATCAAACACCGGAGTTCTACTCCAGCCTTTCTTCCAGATAGCT